CGTGCTTCTGTGTTCCCCTTGTAAGCAGCCTTCAGTGCAGAGACTCTTAACAGTCTCTTAAGAGGCGGGAGCTGACCCCCTTCCCCCGAGGGTCCGAGGACTCCAGGTGCAGGGATGTCCGTCTGTCCGTAGGATATCAGAGCTGAGCAGGCGTGAGCGACCTACCAGCCCTCACAGAACTGGGGTTGAAGAGGAAGCAGAGGAAGTAGAGAAGAAGAAAAGTCATCTTTCCTCCTATTCAATTTAGGGGCGACGCTGGCCTCCCTGTTCTTTTGCTTCCTGACCACTCTCTTACTTTCTAGTCATTTAATTGCATAAATGCTAAACCAATATATGGCAGGAAAAATCCATTGCTAAAAAGTTATTCTTTTAAAAGTTTAATGGGGGCAATGAAGTTTTCTGGAGAGGGAACCCACCAATTTGTCCTCTGTTCATGTAGAGGAAGAAGCACGAGCAAACCCAGCAGAGGGGTAGCCAAGTGACACTTGGGTCCCTGTCTCCTCACACAACCGTGTGAATGAGGCTCCTCCAGACCCAAGTCTACTCCCCAGCAGTCTGTATGGTCAGGAATGGTCACAGTGACAATGGTCAAGAATGTTGTGCCATTGGTGTGGGGCAAGGGTTTCTCAAGCCTGGACCACTGACTTGTCTTGAGAGCACATGTGGAACATTCTGTCTCTCAGGTCTGCCTTGTTCCTGGAGCTTGTGGCCAGAGAAAAGTCGCTGTGCTTTTGTGCCATCCTAGTGTGTGGGTGATTCANCCACCAATTTGTCCTCTGTTCATGTAGAGGAAGAAGCACGAGCAAACCCAGCAGAGGGGTATCCGAGTGACACTTGGTTCCCTGTCTCCTCACACAACCGTGTGAATGAGGCTCCTCCAGACCCAAGTCTACTCCCCAGCAGTCTGTGTGGTCAGGAATGGTCACAGTGACAGTGGTCAAGAATGTTGTGCCATTGGTGTGGGGCAAGTGTTTCTCAAGCCTGGACCACTGACTTGTCTTGAGAGCACATGTGGAACATTCTGTCTCTCAGGTCTGCCTTGTTCCTCGAGCTTGTGGCCAGAGAAAAGTCGCTGTGCTTTTGTGCCATCCTAGTGTGTGGGTGATTCAAAGATTTCTCCTGTGAGGACCATGAAGAGGTTGTTCCCACCAGACCCTTTCTTAAGAAATAGTGTAAGGCAAAAGATGAAAACTTAAATCTACGTGGCCACTGGATGGATTGCTCTTGTAGGCAGTCATTCGATCAATGAGCAAACACTACTTTTGAGCACCTGATATTTGCCAAGCACTGTGCTAGGTTCTGGAGATGATTTTTTTTAAATGTTGAAAATTTACAGCTTAGCTAAGAGACAGGTCATGTCTTTTAAATAACGAATTATACAAGATTATGCTAAATGCCTTGTAGACGACACAAACCAGAAGCTCTGGAGAAGTTTGAAAGAAACTCCAGACTTGAACTCCACCTTGAACAATGGCTAAGCATTCCATTAAAGAGGAAGGAGAGACCATTTTCCAATTCCCATCAGGAGAAAAAGCAGAAGCCAAGTCGTGGTGTGAGCATGCGTACAGCATGCTTGCAGGAGGCTGAGTGCAAAGAGAAGACCCTGAGACTTTGGGGGCATTTTTCAAGGCAGGAAGGCAGTGACTGTAGCTTATTACCCTCCAATAATTTGTCTAACACCTTCCAGTTGATCAAACACACACACTTTTACCTTATGAGGTAGGTCTCATGACATTTCTCAGATGTAAAAAGTCTATTGGGGAAAATGAATGCAGACTAAGTTCTGTATTCTGTGCGAAGTGCTGCCAGAGCCGGAGGAGGAGCCCCTGCCCAGCCTGGTGTGTGGCGTGGTATAGGTGCGTCCGAAGACTCTGGAGCAGACACGTGAGAGCTGAGTCTTGAAGGATGGGCTGGACTTCACAGGGCAGAGAATGAGGGCAAGGACGTTCTAGGCAGAGGGAACAACATAGGCCAAGGCACAGAGGTTTGAAATGACATGGTCCCTTGTGGGGCATTTCAGGGGTGACCAGAGATGACGCTGGCACACAGGCCTTCCATTTCCCGATCATTAGTTCTAGTGGGATGGAAATTCATCCCACTTTTCTGGAAGAAGTTTGTCCATTTTACTTCCTGTATCCAGAGCAAGGTAATAAAAAAGTAAAGTTAATGGAAAAAAA